GTGGGGTTCGATGAGCTTCTTAGATAGATATCTTCTCATCTTTCACGATATCAGGGAAGTTTTCTGCCAATGAATCTTCAACAATTCTCTCTGTAGCTTCTGTTATGCCCCCCCGTTCTGCTACTCCAGTCACTCACAGGTCATTCCTCTTTATAGAGTCCCACATAATTCTTAGGGTTTCTTCATTTTTTAAAATTCTTTTGTCTGATTTTTCCTCAAATAAGGTGGTGTCAACTGCTTTATCTTCAGTCTCACTAATTCTGACTTCCATTGCCTCAATTTGGCTCCAATGACTTTCTATTGAGTTGTCTAATTCTGAAATTTTATTGTTAGTGTTTTGGATTTCTATTTGTTGTCTCTATGGATTTTTGCAGCCTGTTAAATTTGTCATTATGCTCTAGTATGAGCTTCTTAAATTCATCAGTTTCTTTGTCTGTGTGTTCCTTGGTTTGTTCTGCATTTTGTCCGATCTCCTTCCTGATCTCTTGAAGAGCTCTTTATATTAATCTTTGAATTCTACCTCGAGTAATTCCAAGAACTTCTCTTCCTTTGGGAAGTTTCTTGGTTCTTTGTTTGGGGGGACTTGCTGAAGCCATAATGGTCTGCCTCTTTATGTGATTTAATATTGACTGTTGTTTCCAAGCTATCAGTAAGTTATTATATTTTTTTATTTTACGTTTGCGTACTGTATCCTAGCTTCTTGTTTTGTTTTGATATGCCCAAATAGTCTGGTTGTTTGCATTACTTTGATTATTAGTGCCTTTGAAGCTGTCACGTCCTGTCATCAGGTGGTTAGAGCTGCTATTAGGTATATGAGCCCAGGAATCTGTTTACTTTTCGTGTGTGGATTCAGCTCAGGTATCCATGTTGTTGTTCACCGAGTGTGTGGTGCAGGCTGTTACCTACAGTCATACACACGCAGGGCTATGTAGGGGTGATTGGAGCAAGCACAGCTATCTGGCTGCAGTAGAGGGTTATGTACTGAGCAAGGTAGGGGGCTGACGGCTGTCCCTGAGTGCCTGGATGGAAGGAGTGTCCCCGCTCCTTAGAGTGTGTAGGTGGGTGGGTTGTGCAGCCAGACTTTGGTGCTTTTGGCTGTAAGGACTAGGAGGCACCACTTATTCTCAGAGCCCTGTCTAGGGTGGTTAGGTGGAGTGGCTGTAGCCACCAGCCCTCAGGCCACTGTTGTGGGTAGGTGAGGACCCTGCTTAATGGGCAGGGTGGTGTCAAATGTCAAGAATCTGCCACTCCCCCTTAGCTGTTGCAGTGGAAAGTAGGCTTTAGGTCTGTACCCTGTTGTACTATGCTAATGAGGGCATATGCTGTTGAAATGGGCACACACAGGTCTAGGCAAGGGTGAAAGGCATTCAAAATCTGTGGACCCCTTATGCCTGTGCATAGGCAAAGGGGTGTGCCTGCTCTGAGGTCCCAGTTTAGGGGAGATGGCAAAGTATTTTTTCCTGTTTGTTATTTGTATGTTAATTTGTTCCCTCTCCAAAGCCAGGAGAATGGCTTGGGGCACATGATGGGTCCCACTTCGGGTCCAGGGGGCAGGGCAATTTCTGAAGCCGGACCAGGACTGGAGCAGAGTGGGGAGTGGGCGGGTTAATGGGAGGGAAGTACTTCCCAGAGAGGGAAGGGTTTTTTTGATCCCGCGAGGTAGGTCAGATGCTTGCACTTAACTTTCGCAGATCTAGTGCTGCTTTCCCCTGGTTCTGCAGGCTTGTGCAGACTCTCCGCTGCTCGGTTTCTCCCAGTGTGGAAAACACATCCTGAGTACTACTGCTTGCCTCAGCCCGAGTGAGCTGGCTGATCCAACCTGCAAGGTGTCAGCCAGGTCAGTTCTGGCAAATCCTCAATGCTTCTGAACTGTCCCTCCCTCCCGTTGCAGCTCAGTCTGACTCCTCAACTTTGTCTTTGATAGTCAGGGCTCCTAGATTGTCATATGTAATCAATTCACTTGTTTTTTCGAGTCTTTGTTGTAAGAGAGACCAGGGGAGGTGTCTGACTACTCTGCAATCTTGGCCCTGCCCCCAGGCCGGAGATTTATGTTTAAAATGTTTCTACTCTTTAATTCAGTAATTCTACTTTTGGCAGTCTGTTCTAAGGAAACAATGACAGATTAGGTAAAAAATGTATGTACAATTATTTTCCTCAACATGTATATCTAATAGTATACAATTTAAAATAATCAAATATCTGATGACTTGGGGAGAGTTAAATAAACACAAACTTATGTAGTCACTAAAAAATCTCTTCAAAGAGTATTTAGTGACATGGGAAGATTCTCATTAAAAGTTGAATAAGAGAAACTGTCTATAAAATTAAATATTCAGTATTAGTAAGTAAATATATTTTTATAAAAATGATTTAGAAAATATATGATACAGGAAAGAATGATGCCAGAAAGAAATATATCAAAATATCAGCAGTGGAGTTATTTCTGGATGGAGAGATAATGGGTACTTTTTATTAAACAGCTTTATTGTGATACAATTTACATCCCATTAAATTCACCTGTATTAAGTGTACAATTCAGTGATTTTTAGTAAATTTACCAAAGTGTGCACCATCACCACAACCTAGTTTTAGAACATTTCCATTGCTATGGGTGCCTTTTTTTTCCTTGGTAACTGTTAACTTACTTTTTGTGGGGAAGCTATTTTTAGAAAGATAGTAATTTCCAAATATATTAGGAAATTTAAGCAAAACCAAAAAGTACTATAGTTTAAGAAAACATGAAAAGTATTATAATTTTAATAAGAATAAAATTACTTAAGTAGAACTACTCTGACTCAGGAGTTCTACGTATGGATTATTTCTAAAATGTCGTTGGAAATGCAAACAAAGGTTTACATATAAGATGTTCATCACAACTTTGCTTATGATATTAGAGATTAAAAATAATTCAATTGTACAACAATAGAGAAATGGCTCATTTATGGTACATATCTAAGGTAGCCTCTATTAAAAATATTACAAGAATGTTTAATGACTAAATGTTAAAGATAAAATGTTGACTGATAATAGCAAGAATAGGTATTGGGTATAGAGTATGATTCCAGTGTTGACTACAATATATATCCCTGGAAAAAAAGCCTGGAAGAAAAAGTGAAAAAATATGTTAACATGACCCTAAGTTTTGAGATTATTTTACTGTTGTTATGCAGTTTTGTATTTTCCAAAATTTCTATAGCGAGTGTATATTACTGTTATAAAAAACTTTTTTTTCTTTTTCTTTTTTTTTTAAAAAAAAGAACAGGTGAGAGGGCTTAAGAACACACTCAGAGGAGATCTGGAGAAGTGGGCCTGAGTAGTCACACCCACTTGAGCTTGCCTTGTCCACCATAGCCAGGGTTATGATGTTATGCAGAGACTGTCCTTAAAACTGTTAAAGAGTTTTGGTGAATTTATTAACTATGAGAGGTTAAGAGCAGAATTGATGAACCTAAATAGTATCCATCATTATTATAGTGCCCATCTACAAACAGATGCTTATTATGAATCTATTTTAATGTAGAAGACAATAAATATAAAATTAGTACGTTAATGGTATGAAAATGCAAAAGTAAATCAATGTACTTTAGTTTAACCAGACCTCATAAGAAAGAAAAAAATATGAACACCTAATTTGTGCATTCATTTAACAGATACTACTACGTCCTAGATGTGAGTTTACAAGTGTGAGGTGGAGGGAGGTGGAGAAGGATTCCCAGGAAAAGGAACCGTATATGTGAAGGCCCTGAAGGACCAAATGCTTGAGTTTCTGTGAACCTGAAGAAAAAGCCAGTGTGGCCAGGACAGGGTGGGAGGGAGGTGTGGAATGAGATTGGAGAGAGAGGCTAGGCTTTGAACCATGATGAGTGTCTTCATGTGGAATTAGTAAGGTATACCTCTATTTCTTGAAATGTGTACATAAGTGTGTATGTAACGAAGAGAGAGATTTATTTTAAAGAATTGATTCACACAATCGTGAGGGGCTTGGCAAGTCCAAAATCTCTAGGTCAGGCAACAGGCTGGAGATTCCTGCAGTCTTGTGTCCCAGATCCATAAGACAGGTGACGGGAAGAGTGAAAAGTGAGTGACTTCTGGGAAAATGTCTATTTATAGGGGAGACTCCTGTTTTGCTCTTAAGATCTTCAACTGATTGAATGAGGCCCACCTGCTTTATGGAGGGTCATCTGCTTTACTTGAAGCCAACTGCTTTCACATGTAACTACTCAATAACAGCATCTATACAAGTGTTTGACCAAACAACTGGGAACCATAGCCTACCCAAGTTGACACATAAAATTAATAATCACAATAAGGAATTTGTATTCTATTTGAAATGTAATTAAAAAAAATTACTCAAGCTATGAAGTGGAGAGGAGATTGGAGGTAGCAAAAGAGCAGATGTGAGAGACAAGTCAGGAACCTACAGTTGCCATGGTCCAGGTGAGCCTGTGATGGCAGCCTAGATGAGGTGGCACAGTGGAAGGAAAAAAGTGGATGGATTCAGGCTGTATTTAGGGGATATTAATAACAGGAGAGGGAGCCCTGGTTGCATAGTGCTTGGCTGCAAACTGAAAGGTTGGAGGTTCGAACCCACCAACGCTTCTTGGGAGAAAGATGTGGCAGTCTGCTTCTGTAAAGATTTACAGACTTGGAAACCCTGTGGGGCAGTTCTACTGTGTCTTATAGGGTCACTGTGAGTGGCAATACACTGGATGGCAACTTCTTTTTTTTTTAAATTTATTGTGTTTTAATGAAAGTTTACAGTGCAATTAGTTTCTCATTCAAAAATTTAATGCACATATTGTTTTGTGACAGTGGTTGCACTCCCCGCAATGTGTCAGTACTCTTCCCCTTTCCACCCTAGGTTCTCTGTGCATTCGTCCAAATTTTACTATCTCTTGCCTTCTTCTATTTGCTTTTGGGCAGGTGTTGCCCATTTGGTCTCATGTACTTGATTTAACTAAGAAGCACATTCCTCACATGTGTTATTGTTTGTTCTTTAGGCATGTCTGTGTGGCTGAAAGGCGGACTTCCAGAGTGTCTTCAGTTTTGAGTTAGCAGAGTGTCCAATGGCCATAGTCTCAGTGGTTCCTTCATTGTCTGTCAGACCAGTAAGTCTGGACTATTTTTTTATTTTTTTTTATTGTACTTCAGGTGAAGGCTTACAGAACAAATAGTTTCTCATGAAACAGAAGTACACATGTTGTTTTATAACATTGGATAACAACCCCACAACATAT